GATTAACATAAGAATAAAAAAATAAATAAAAATAAAATTAAAAAAAAAAAAAGATAGTGATCAACCTTGTTTCACCTGAAATTGCTAGGCCATAAATTTGGTTAATCCCCATAGTGGGAATCCCAGCAGCTCTGCAAAGGGTCCAGGCGTAGACATTGGTGCTGGCTAGTACCTTCAGAGAAGGACAGCTGCTAGGACTAAGTTAGGGAGATGGGTGTCTGCAGAACTGGTAGTCTCACTCTTAAATATTTGCCAGTTGGCTTTCTGGGCTTGCCCAGTTCCATAAATACTTTATTGCTGTATCTGATTGTATGACCCACCAGATTTGAAAGTATCCAAATTATCAAAAACAGTGCTCATACCTGTGATAAAAAGACATCCCAATATCAAATGCAACAAATTCTTACTCTTTAGACACATTGTACCCCTGAGACCAGGACCCCGAGGTCATGACCTGAGCTGAAATCAATAGTCAGACGCTCAACCAACTGAGCCACCCAGGCACCCCTCAACTGGAACTTTTTAGAAATGCAAGTCCTCAGGGCCAGCATTCTGTATTTTTTTTAGAAGCCCTAGGTGCTTCTCTGATGCACACTAAAGTTTGAGAACCATTGTCCTAGGGGGAGAGGCTTTGCCAGATCTGACGTACCTCCCACACATGGCCAGTAAGTGAAGAAAAACCCACTGCTCGAGAGCGACACTTAGGTATAGACTCAGTGGACTAAGTAAAGTGGGTTGAGTAACTTTGTACTTCCCAAATGGTGTGTGAGGATTTTTGCTTACATGACCTATTTATTTTTCCGCTAAGATATGACACTGACTTATAAGTAATTAAATAAGAGCTTCATGCTCATAAACATGGGAGACTCTCATTATAATAATTTGTTTCTATATTAGTTTGGCTACAATTTGGGTCAAATGACAATATCTAAAAACATAATTACCCAAATAATTGGTTTAAAAACCCAATTAGTTGGTAAGGCAAGTTTTATGTTCTCCAAGTCAGCTTTTAAGAATAGTTTTTTAAAAATAATAATTCTTTATATTTACCTCCAGTTGGACTCATTCATTTACTCCTATAAGATTCTGTGAGGCAGGGTCAGGTAAGTGGCTGCCTGCTTATATATGCAGATCATCAGTGTTGGTTCAGAAATAGAATTCACCATATATTTCATGGTAATTTTGGAGTTAAAGTAGTTCAAATTCTAATCCTGCTTCTGATGTCCCTGTCACTGTGTATCTCAGAAAAAGTCATTGAGCCTCTTTTTTTTTTTTTTAATCTACAAAATGATGAGGATAAAGGCATATACAATGCCTAGCCCAGAGTGTGGTTCGTTTTATTGTAGCTAATATAACTAGCCATTTTATTGATCATCATTTTCTCTTTTATTTAACAGCTGGAAGCCTTTGCTCACTTTTTTATGAAAGACGGTTGTAAGACATTGAAATTTTTGTACCAGGAAGGAGATGTCCCTGGCCTTGGTAAGGATGTGTTATGAGGGCAATTTGCTGGCTCTTAGTTAATGAATGTTAAAGTGCAGCATATCTTTTCTCTTATAAATAGATACATATTTATAAATTTTATATATTTACATAGAAGTATATTTATAAAGAAAATTTATCAGAAGCTTATGTGTGGAGAAGAGTGTCTTTTTTTTTTTTAAGATTTGTTTGAGAGAGAGAGAGCATGTGCAAGCAGGGAAGGGCCAAGGGGGAGGGAGAGATAATTTCAAGCAGACTCTGTGCTGAGCATGGAGTCCCATATGGGGCTCAGTCTCACAATCCTAAGATCATGACCTGAGCCGAAATCAAGAGCTGGATGCCCAACTGTCTGAGCCACCCAGGTGCCCCGAAAAAAAAATGTCTTAAAAACAATACTTTTTCAGCCCAAATATATATGTCGGGCACTACTATAATATAAGGAGAAAACATACTTACAGAAATCATTGATATCTCCTGGTGGATACATGTTTTCACTAGAATTTAATTCCATTTTCCCTGAAACAGGTGGAGCCATTTTGCACACAGGTTCTCAGGTGACTAGTAATAGACAGGAAACCCTGTGAGAGCTCAGCAGCTGTCCCAGTAGTCTTGGGTCATCATCTTGTCTGCTGCAGCTGTCAGTTGGAATATATGGCTTCTTTATTATTTGCAGGATTCCTAAAATAATTAACACTACCAGGATGTGAAACTTTTGTCTTGATAACCAGGTACATGGGCCATCCTTTTGGTTTTAGACTACTTATCTTTGAAGTCTTATGGATTGTCCCTCCTATTGGTTCTTTCTCATTTTTCTCCTCTGCTGCCTTTAGCTGAGGCTCATATCTCATGCCTGCCCTAGTATTCTAGGTTGAAAGTCTGTAGCTCTGAAACCAGATTCCCTCTCTGAAATTTACACTGCTTATTCCTTTAAAAGTAAATCTTTTATTCATTTGTATGTATATATATATACCACATCTTTATCCATTCATCTATGGATGGAAACTTGGGTTGCAGCCATAAAAAGGAATGAAATCTTGGGGCACCTGGGTGGCTCAGTTGGTTAAGCATCTGCCTTCAGCTCAGGCCATGATCCCAGGGTCCAGGAATCGAGTCCCACATTGGGCTCCCTGCTTGGCAGGGAGTCTGGTTCTCCCTTTCCTTCTTCTTTTCCCCCCTACTCTTGCTCTCTCTCTCTCTCAAATAAATAAATAAAATCTTAAAAAAAAACAAAGAATGAAATCTTGCCATTTGCAACAACATGGGTGGACCTAGAGGTTATAATGCTAAATGAAAGAAGTCAGTCAGAAAAAGACAAATACCATAGGATTTCACATATATGTGGAATTTAAGAAACAAAACAAAGGAACCAAGAAAAAAAGAGAGGGACAAACAAACAATAAAACCAGCCTCTTAAATACAGAGAACAAACTGGTGGTTTCTAGAGGGGAGGTGGGTGGAGGACTGCATGAAATAGATAAAGGGGATTAAGAGCACACTTATCTTGGTGAGCACTGAGAAATATATAGAATTGTTGAATCATTACATTGTACACCTGAAACTAATCTAACACTGTATGTTATCCCTCAGTAAAAATTCTGAAAAGTAAACCTTTCATTGTGCTCCTAGTTATTGGATTGGGTCCAAAACCCTCATTTCTCCGCTAAGGCCCATTATAACCTGGATACACAGTGTTCCTTTAGCCTGCGCTCCTATTCTTGCAGACATGAATTTGCTGCTCTCTTTAAGCCAGTCTCTTCCTTGTTTTCTGGACATTCCAGGGTCATATCTGTGCCCTTTGCTCTGCCCTCCTCACTCTCTCAGAATGCCTTTTTTCTCTATACCCAGCCAAATCCTACCCCTTCGATCACCTCTGACATTCTCTTTTCTACAGAGCCTGCCCAGGGTGTTCCAAACCCATCCATCACTTTTCTCCAAACTCCTCCCGTCTCATTTAAAGTTTGCATTGTGAAATACAGCACTTGATTATGTTCTTCTATTTTCATTTAATTCTTTAATATAAGAAAATACCTACAATGAGAAGAGAAATAAAAACCACCCACATTCTCAGCCATTTGGAATAGGCACTGTTAATTCCTTGATGAATATTCCTCTATAACTTCTTTGCCCCTCCCCTCTTATTTGGAGAAAGGGCGAGAGGGAGGGAAAAAGAGCGAGAAAGTTATTTATATGTATAGAGTGTGTGTGCATATATATACATGTACACATAGAGCTGGATCCCTCTTTGTAATATGTAGATATTATGCTACAAAATGGGATGCTACAAAATAAGATGCTACAAAATGGGATCCAACTCTACATGTTGTTTTTTTATTTTTATTTTTTTTTAAAGATTTTATTTATTTATTTGACAGAGAGAGACACAACGAGAGAGGGAACACAAGCAGGGGGAGTGGCAGAGGGAGAAGCAGGCTTCCAGCTGAGCAGGAAGCCTGATGCAGGGCTTGATCCCAGGACCTTGGGATCATGACCTGAGCCGAAGGCAGACGCTTAACGACTGAGCCACCCAGGCGCCCTCTACATGTTATTTTTATGGTGGCCTTTAAAATTTGATAATATTCTCTTTTTCATGCCACTAGATACATTTTTTACAATTAACTTTTAAACAGCTGCATTGTATTTCATTAGGCTACTATAACTATTATTTTTAAAACTTATCTCTTATTATTAGAACTTAGGTTATTTACAACTTTTTGCTCTTTTAAATAATGCCTCAGTGATTATCACTGAGGCTAATGTGGATTAGGAAGCCTTTAGGAAGAATTTGCAGGAGGGGAATTGGCAGGAGAAAATACA